GTTTCTATCCAAAAGTCTACAAACTTCCCGTCAAAGCAGGATACAACCCCAAAGAATGTCACTCCCTGAGAAATCTCATATCCCAAGAGCAAATGCACAACCGAGATGGTCTTGGATATATGACATGGAATCTAATTAAAATTGCCATCAGGAGAGTAAACGCCAACCATGCCTCGAAAAGAAGGGTTCTTATACAGTGACGACGAAAAGAAAGGACAAAGAGTGTCGGTGTTTCAAAGACTCGGTCCAGTTTGGAAGGCAAAGGCAAACAATCCGTGTTTCTACGACTTGGATCCTCCACACTGTCAAAACTTTAAAGACAAGAAAGAGGCGCGTGCTCAGCTTTAATGCTTAGAAGTTGGATCCCGTCACGTGTGAAACGTCAAACCATCTTGATCATATCATGTGGAGAGGTTTTAAACACAAAAATGCACACGATCATTCATATAAGAGTACATGATGATAATAATAAGGATAGAGAAAGAATCATTTCGTGTTACTATGCATGTTGTACTCTTACAACTCCTCGAGATGATGAAAGTCCTCTTTACTGAATGATAGCTTATTTGGCGAGAAAAGGGTATATCACTAGAGCTGATGAAAATGTGCAGACATAGCTTGTTACGGGAAGAAATGAATGAGTGAGAGCATGTATTGACTTCAAAACTCCTAGTGAGTCGAGCGAAGATATCGCTCATGCAAACCATATCGATCACTATATGTGAGGATACTCCGACATAAGAGAAAGGTGCTGAAGACGCACCTCCCGAGCTTGAAGAAGGTGTCAAAGCCACATTCGATGAACTAGAAGAAAACAACTTGGGTGATGTTGATGATCATCGCCATACTTATATCAACGCCTTATTAACTATAGATGAAGAGAAGACTTACATCGAGCTCCATGGTGAGTTTACTGATGTGTTTGCATGGTCCTATAAGTAGATGCTTGGACTGGACCTGAAGGTGGCAAAGTATAACTTGTCCATGAGAAAGGGGGCAAGACCTATTAAATAAGCACAACGGAGATTTCGACAAGAGTTGATAGAATTAATTGAGGCTGAAGTGAATAAACTCATTGAACTTGGATTAATTATAGAAGTCAAATATCCTACATGGATCTTGAGCACCATTCCTGTTAGGAAGAAAAATGGTCAAATTCAAGTGTGCATTGATTTTCGAAAACCAATTGTTTACCGCAGACGGTCCATCATGTCCAGTGAACATAAGCAGATGCAAGCCATGGAAATGAGACACGAGCTGAGCCTGGTTCGGACCCTGGACAGGTGGGTCCTGCTGAGCACAGCCTCTAGCTCCTCTTTCCCTTGATGCCATGATCTAGCACAAGGTATACTTTAAGGTTCAACTCAATTTCAATCTAACTAGTGTTCAAAGTCCTTTGAATCGAGGGTAAATTCTAGGCCCCATGCTAAAGTCATGCATGTAAACACAACATGTTGATAAAGAACTATCTCAAGATACTTACCTCGAAGCTGGCGCGACACGAAGAAGGCGAATGGTCACACTTTTAGAACTTTTTGAAAATTTTTCACAATTTTCTAACTTTGAAAATTTTGGAAAGTCTACACAATCATAAACCTGCTCTGATACCACGTTGTAGCGCTCGCTTACTTATCTTTAGAAAATGCTATAATTTTCAGAAAATGCCAAACTTACTGATACCACGTGTCCTAACAGAATTGAGTAGTTCGGGAAGTCCATCCGGACAGTCTTGATCAACAAGGTAACACACCCCTATATAAAAGAGTGAGGTATGTCCATTCACCCTCTAGTGCTCTACATTCTCTACACACTCTTGATACTTACAAGACATAGATACACTGTTTATCGTTTTTATCCGTGGAGACTTGATCGTTGGAGTGCTAACGACGAGAGTCTCTGCCGGCCCGTTTTGCAAGTCTACGGACATGTCAAGATCGTGCAAACCCGGTTTTTTGCTCACCAGTATTGTATAAATTGTATAAAGATATTGAAATTGAATAAATAATATACTTTATCTGAACTTTTCTATTCAATCACAACTTTAAAAAAAATGAATCTTGTTATTCTTATCCTAACAAAACTAATGAAACAAAATAATTCCATATCCACTCATCAACTTATTTATTTACGATCGTGTGCATTAACAAATTATTGTCAATCGCATCGTCGTACTGCAGAGTTATGCGTATCACAGCCTGAGTATGTCGAAATCATAGGTCATATCCTCCTGCAATTCATTTCGGTCTTGTCTTGTTTTCCATGCGAATTGATTCCACAATTGCTGTTTTATTTGGAGTATTATTATTATTATTATTATTATTATTATTATTATTATTATTGTGATATATTAATTATTGCTTGCCAATTTGGAATGTCTAAATAATATATGTCTAACTGTCAATTAATTGCTAATTGTATATTTTGATTAATAATATTATAATTTTAAAATCAATGTACGTATTTAATTTATATTGTCCAGAGTTTTGTTTATATATCGTGCGATCGATTGAAACTGTCGAAATTAGTGATCGGAGAACCCGAGCCCGAGTGCTGGATTTATTTTTCGTGTGTTCGAAACGGGCCTGAGAGCCGAATTTATTAATCGTGCGATTTAATCGAGCCTAAAAATACCCGCGTGAACCAAAACCGAGCCCGTGAGCCGATTTATTGTCGCGAACCGGCCCAACAAACCGGCCCAATGGCCCAAAATTGGTTTTCTCCCTTTTGGATATGTGTATGTGCATTTTTTTTTTTATTATTTATTCTTGTGTAACAAGAAAGTCAACCTAGGTATATATGTATATGTGTATCTATCGCTCCCTTTTCCTCTCCTTCGCTCATAACCCGCAACAATTTCTCTCTGGCAATAAAACGATCGCGCAGCCGTCTTGCGATCTGCTCTCTCTTGTCTCTTTCGCAAGATCTCATCGGCTCGTTCATAAAAAATCCCTCGCAGCTTCAATCTCTTTTTTTTTTTCTCAATCGATCGCTGCCCCTCATCATCCTCTCCTCTCGCTCAGAATCCCGTCGCCCTTCCCTAGCAAAATCCGGCCGCCGTGAATCCGTCCGCGACCCTCCGCAGCAACACGTTGCCGTCAACGACCAGCGTCTGCAACCTGCCGGCGAACAACCTCCGCCCGCAACACCTCCGCCTGCAACCGCCGCGACCATCCCTCCTCCGGCGACCCACACTGCAGCAACGCCGCGACTAGCAGGACCATGATCTTCTACCGTGACCCCTGCGAATTCCGGCGACCTTTCTTCAGCCACCGTCGAGTCGAGGCCAATCTCCGTCGCCTGCCCCTGTTTCGCACAAAGAGCCCAGCGGCGAGCCGCGCTCCACCGTCGCAGTCCTCGTCCTCCGCGAGAGGAGCCGTCCCCGACCGCGACCACCGTCTGCTGCACTTTTCCGGCGAACCCTGTTCACGTGTAGCAGCCCCGGCGAACATTTCTTCGCTGCACCTCCGCAAGCCGCCATTCTCAGGCTCGCAGCCCCTCCGCGTAGGACCCGTTCGAGCCGCTGTTCTTTTCACCGGCGAGCCAAGCACAGTCGTCGAGCCCGATCAGCCACCGAGCGCCGCCGCTTGCCGTCACGTTTTTGCCGTCGAGCCCCGTTCGATCCTTTCTCGCTCGTTTCCCGAGAACGGTATCGAGTCTCGACCCCTCGTTAAACATTACGTGATTTATGTTGTGATCGGATGTGTTGTACGTGTTCGTTGAATTATTATATGCGTGTTTGTTGTTCGTTATGTAAATATATTCGTGATTTTATGTGAAACTCGTCGATTCGTACGAATCGAGCGAGAACTGAACAAAAGTGATTAGTTGCTGTGGATTTTGGTTGGTTGCAGGAAAATTGAATTTTGGTTCGGTTTTTAGGATATTAGACTGTGTGTAGATTAGTTAGGACGTCGAAATTCGCAGACTTATGGATTGGAGTATATGTATGGTTTATATTCAGTATATTTTCGGTATATGATAAAGAAATTTATCGCGAGACATAACTTTTATGTATAAAATCAATTTATATTTAGCATAAACTGAATTTTTTTGTTGTTGTTGTGTATATGTATGGTTTTATATTAAGTAAATTATATATATATATATATATATATATACTTTTATGTACAAAAGAAAAGAAAGAAAAGAAAAAAAGAGGAAGATATAACTTTTTGATGGAAGACATTTTTTTTCATGCAACATATACTAAATATATACTAACATAAATGCAATATATACCACTTGAGTATATATTCAGTATATTAGAAGATTTTTTTGTAAGTTGTTCGATATATGCTGTGTGTATAGGGAATATATGTTCATTATATTAGAAGATTTTTGGAATATGTAATATAAACTAACATAAACTCAATATATACTGAATATATACTAACATAAATGCAATATATACCAGTCGCGTGAATTAGGGAATTCCAGTTGCGCACATATACTGAATATATGCTAACATAAACTCAATATATACCACCTGAGAGCTACTTGAAGTAAGGAATTCCAGTTGCGCACATATACTGAATATATACTAACATAAACTCAATATATACCACCTGAGAGCTGCGTGAATTAAAGAATTCCAGTTGCGGAAATTCAGGAATTAAATGGATAAATCACGCCATCAAAGGATAACTGATATGGATAGAGGACGTTACAAAAGGTAACTGCGGAAATTCAGGAATTAAATGGATAAATCACGCCATCAAAGGATAACTGATATGGATAGAGGACGTTACAAAAGGTAACTGATATTTAGGCAATCACGTAAATAAAATAGCTTGATTAGGTATATATCCTATTAATTGTTCTAGAAAGGTAAAATTGAAAATATTTTACTTAATGTAGTGTGTATAAAAATTTTCCTATTATCTTTGTAGTCTGTCGCGTAGAAGCTTCCAAGTCCGGCCCATTCAATCTAAAAAAGCCCACTCTCAATAGCCCAACAGATAAATCACTAGATTAAATCCACTTCTATTTGGGCCTACATCTTAAACCATCCCAATTTCACCCCCACAAATGCCGAACAAATTACCTGGTGGACGATCCCAAGTAAGTTTTTTACCCTAAATACGATCTAACTTTTTAAATTCCAATCTAAACTTTTCTTTTCCATTTGAACGCTATTTTCATTTTCTTAATCACCTCTCACGCCATACTTCCCTATCCCAATAGACTCAATTTAATTTCTCTTCTCTCTTCCCTTCTCACTTCACAGAACACACGCACACACCAACACTGTCATATATTTACAACCTCCCATCCCTTATCTTGTTCTCTCTTCTTCGTAGATCGACCGATTGAGAATGGCGAGCACCGGAGAGATGTAAAACAACCAAGCTTGGCGGAGATCGATTCGGACCACTGACTCGAATTTTGGGATCCGCCGAGTATAACCGCTGACTCGGCTGGGATGGTGGAGCGTGAGTCACCGGCGAGATCTTGACTAGTAGCGACGACGGCGCGACCAAAGATTTTTGTATCACATCTCTGTCTCATCGATAGGCGAACAGACATGTTTTCATCCCAGATCTATGTCTCGCTGATAGGTGCGCAACCAGGTTTGAGGGTTGGGTTGTCGGACCAAGTTATCAGCAAAGAGAGGCAATTTCGATGGCTCCAATTTTGGTGTACACCAACGGCGGTGCGAGGGACATAGGTAGATCTAAGCTATAAAAAAGTTCAATGTTATAATTAGGATTGCTCATGTTATTGCCACGAAATTTTGGGCGTTAGGGTTGGAAATATTCATTGTGCAAATGAAATTGATTTTGGTTTTGGTTTTTGACTTTAGCAATCCTAACACTCTAATATGCAACAATAGTTTTCCTTTTCATCCCCAGTGCCAAATCTTACCTTAATATATGAAATTAATTTGTTGTAAACAGAAATACCTCCCTTCAATATGCACAAAACAAAATAATTAAAATAGAACAACAATTGCTCTTTGATTTTCTTGATATCACACAGGCCAGATGTTTGATGAAATGCGTGTGTGAGTTTGTTTAGTTTTGTTTTCCTTTTGCATATGGAACAACAGTTTTCCAATCCAGTTCATTTATATTTTGAAGTTTTTTTTTCTTATTGTTGATTATTATTATTATTATTGTAGACGAACTAAATGGTGGTTCTTTATTTGGATATGATGGGGATGGGGATGGAAAACTTTGAGTATTTCTGATGTTTATCTATTGTACCAGGTTTCTTTTGTTGTTATTTTTTGCATGGTATATTTTTTGTATTTCTTTTGGTAAATATGCTGTATTTCAGTTATTCTTTTATTCTCTTTTGGATGTGTGGTGACATGAAGTTTTAGACTTGTTAGAGTGTTAATTTGATGTTTATCTATGATTTCATTATGTGTTTTGATTTTTTTTTTTGTTGTCTTATCTACCTTATATTTCAATTTATTGCTCAAATTTATTGCTATTAGCAAGAGATGAGGAGACTGAAGGGTGACATTGGGAGTGGTGAGGTAAATGGCGCCGAAGAGGGCAGCTTGTTGATGGGGTATATGGGGCGGCACTCGGAGAATACCCACCACTCGATATTGTCCATGTCGTCGGAAGAGACAGTTACGGGGTCTTGCATGATGTCCAGGAACACGAAGCACGAGGACGTTGATTTCGAACATTGATGGAGATGAAATGAAGGTTATATTATGCTTATTTGTGAATTTGTTTTTTTTTTTTGTTAAGGCGTTGAGGATTTCTACTTGAAGATTTACAGCATCTGCATAGCTGCCTTGGGACATGACTATTGATTTCGAGACTGATTGGAAAAAGAATCGAGTCCGACTTGGGACTTGACCTTTTTTTAGGTTTATTTTTAGGTTTATTGTAGTTTATGTTCACAGATGGTTTGTGTTAGATTCAGACTTTTGGAGAAAATATTTTTCAAATGTTTGATTTAATTATTTTGTGGACGAATTATATGTTTACTTGATGTTAAAGGAGCAGTTGTTTTTTTGGTTAATTATTGTATATTTTTATTTGTATATGAATTTATTTGTATATTTGCTTGTTTAATTTAGTTAAAAATTGGTAATGAACTTAAGATAAACTGTATGGTTAATGATTTTTTTTATTATTATTTGTAGTTTATCTTACGTTTTATTTTGAATATGAATTTATTGTATATTTGCTTGTTCTTAATTTAGTTAAAAACTAGTAATAAACTTAAGATAAACTAGTAATAAACTTAAGATAAATTTAAGATAAACTGGTAATAAACTTAAGATAAACTGTAAGGATAATGTAATAAACCTAATATAAATTAAAAATAAACTAAGAAAAGTTGACTGAAGATAAAGAAAAAGAAAATTTGAGAAGCAAAAGAGTGTCGATTTGAATTAGAAAAGTAATTAGAAAAGGGATTGGTCCAAAATGGAATTGTTTAAATATTCTCGTCTTTGTGGTAACTGTTTTTGAAAGAAGTATAAATGTGTCCTTTAGCCCGCAAATGCCTATGAAACAAAGTGAAACCTACCCACTCAATAAGCCAATACAATAATAATAAATGGTCTCTGGAGTCTGAAACCATCTCAGTCACCTTCTTAATTCGGCTCACCGCCGAGCCGCTGAGTCATTTTGTTCACTCTCTCTACGCCTTTGGTTTGGTGCGACTGTGAGGGAGCGAGGGAACATTTTACCTGCTATTTTAGAGGATTAAAGCGCGCAGCCACAGAAAAAAAACAAAAATTAAAAAAAAAAAACACGCACAAACACGCAGTCTAATTTCGGATCGCATTTTTTTCTGTGCGGCGAGAAGAATCTTCGGGTAAGCGAAGCCCCTCAGCCATTAACTCCATTTTTTCCTCTTTTTGTTGTCGTTTTTTTAGTTCGTGTCAGCTCGAGAACGTGATGTTTGGGTACAAAGGGTAAAAATGAACCCTAGATTTGTTTAGTCTGCTTGTGTGGTTGATCTGAGACTTCAGGTGAGTGTACTGATCCAGTTTTCATGGATGTATTTGTGGATTTATTTTTCCTTTTTTTTTTGTCATTTTTCGATTTTTTTTGTTTAAGTTTTACAAGCATTTGTGTGCTTAGGTATGCTTGTATGGAAATGGCAATCATTTGTTCTTTATTTTATTTTGTTTAATGTTGGTTAATTCGGGAGCTGCAAAAGCTGCATGGAAAATTCACAGCAACTAATCACTTTTACATAATGCCGTTGGCCTTGTGTTGATTGGAGGTGTATATTTGCCGTTAGGATTTTTTGAAGTTTATATTGACAGTTTGGAATGAAAAATTCACTATAAATTGAATACTAGTCCGATTGCCTTGATATTTTAGGAGCAGCTGTTGTTGATGAATATGTAGCTGCTGTAAAATTTTCGTGATTTTTAAAGGTGTTTAGCTATTTTTAAAAATTAATTTATTTTCTGTTCAGTTTCTTGTAAAATGCATAATTAATTTTGTAATGTTCTTTTCCGGCCAATTTTCGAATTTGTTATCTTTCAGGCTTGATTATATGTTGTGTAAAAGTTTTAGAATTTTTGAACTAGGTTTGATCGGGTTAACAAATTATTTTGTGATTCTGCCCGAATTTGTTTTAATTATTATAAATTTTTCTGGAGCTGCAAAATTCTGAAAATTTGTAGAAGTGCTGATTATGTGATGTTTAACATGCTGTAGAAAGTTTAGAGTTTTAGAGTTCAGTTGCAATCAGTTTTGATATAATTGCGATATTTGGCTGAATGTTGTTTTAATTTTATAAATTGATATACTAAGTGTTGAAGGCTGATAAATTTATGTGTTACTTTTTGCATTCTGTAGTATTTTAGATAAAAATTTCATAGCCTGAATCGTCCATTATCATGTACTTTTAATTTAAACTCGTCTGTGTTGAAAAACTTGTTTGAATTTTATAAAATTATGTACAATGAGTTGGAAGCTGAAACTAGGTTATGTTTCTTAGAACCGGGATGTGAAATTTATGTAAAATTTTCAGAGCCTAACTCATTGAATTGATGTACCTTCTAATTCAGGTGTGAATTTGAGGAATTGTTTTTCTATATTGAAATTTGTTAAGTGTTGTTGACCAAATGTGCCATGTGTCTACTTGTGCCTCGTTTTTTTGTCTTTCACTTGCATTTATGTGAACTTGAATATATGGTTTGATCGAGTCTAAGTCCTAGTGTTCCCATATCCACAGAACTTCACGAACCACTTGGTCGAACCGAGTTCGGCTAAGTCAATTTGTGAATTTTCTACATAGGTCTAGATTAAAGTGTTGACTTTAGTATCTGGACTTAATGTAGGTGCCTAGAGGTGTTGACCTCGCCTCATCTCGAGATTTGTGATTTGAACTGTAGCTGCTATCAGGTGGGTACATTTATGATGTATTCCATATTTATCGCACTACTTATTTCGCGTAATGTTTCTTTTGAAAATTTTTGTATGCATGAGAACTCTAGTCTAAGTTCCCCAAACGATAGTGCCTTGATGAATGCGAAAGCAGTAGGAGGTTGTCTGCCCGTTGTATACGGGAGGGACGCCCCATGCCGTCGTATCCGGAAGGGGAAAAACATCTCTGCTGTCTCCTGGAAAGGATCCTGCGAACCGTTGTACCCGGGGGTGGGAATGTTTCCAGTTACAGCCATGCCATTGTATCCAGAAGGTTGTTGTATGTACATAGGAGGTTTGCGATAGGCTGGGTAGGGGGTTTAGGCTATGAATTCTATGCATACCGATACTGATACTGTTTACCGTGATACTGCTTTTAAAAAAATAATTATACGGGATAATTGTGCGATAATGGTGAGCTTGTTGGTTGCTCACCCCCATTGTTTTCTTGTTGTTGTCTCTCTTCCTTTTGTCTAGTTTTAGACGAGCTTGAGGCGGTGGCGTAGGACGAGCGAGATGGTGGTCACTGTTTGATGATATCTTATGCTTCTGCATGAACTTGTTACTTAATTGTTTGCTTTCATACTTTGGATTAATTCTTGCTTCCGCTTTCGAATTATGTTTAAGTTTGGTTGAACTTTGTTTCATGCTAGACGTTTGGGAATGATTTTAAATTTTATGATTATTGGGATTGTTATTTTGATAGCTCGAGCATGTGTAGGTTCACTGAAATGATTGATTGGATGTGTTTGTTTGCTGTTGTTAGTGAGTAGCGCCCGTTTCTCGATAAATGGTTTAACTTGGATTTTAAAAAAAAAAATAAATACTCTGATTTTTGTTGAATAAATTCGGTAAATTCTTCAAAATAAAACGGGACGTTAAAATTGCAGGAAAAAAAAAATTGAAAATTTTGGGAGAAAATGGAAAGAGAATCATTCTCGTCGAGTAAAGCAAACTCGTTGGATTTCGATAACGAGCTAACGTTGAGTGAGAAGCTCAAAGTCTTCAAATCCTCCAATTTCGATCCGAAGTCTTACGTCACCAGTCATTGTGGCGTTATGAGCGAGAAGGTCTTCAATTATTACAAGCTTCTCTCCTTTGCCCTTTTCTTTTTTATATATTATTTTTTTTTTTTTCAGCGACAGTGATTTGCTCTGCATGCATTTTCTTTCACATTATTTCTAGAATTTTTTTTTCTTTAAATCTAATCTAATATATAAGGGAAATGTATGCTTTTGTGTTTGCAAGCTCTTAAATTCTAACAAAAAAATATTGTTAGCTTCTGGGTGGAAAAATGTGATGAATACTGTTACGAGAAAGATAACTCTACGCAGGCCAAAAAAGTTATCGTTAATGCACGTTACATGTTTGAACATATGTCTCTTTAAAAACAAAAATTTGTCATATCAGTAAGGTGCAGAGTTTATGGTAATTGTTAAGAGGCATAATGCTTGTACGACTCTCAAACTGGGCACGATCTTTTGACAGGCAATTCGGCACCTTTGCATTTACCTTGTGGGCTTGAAGAAGGGCTCTGCCGAGGAAATGCGCAAAAATGTTTACGCCAATTACGCATCATTTATTCGGTGAGCTTACAGCTTGTACTCAACTATACAGCTAGCTAACCTTTCCCATTGATTCTCGATTCTCATATACTTTGTTCTTGCAATTCTAAGTAATTTTCAGTTGATCATCTTTGAGTTATTGTTAGCTTTTCAAGCCCTTGATGTATGATTCTCTCCCAGTTATATTTTCTTCGCGAAACGATTAGCAAAAAGATCAATTAAAACTAACGAAAAGGTAGTAAAGTGAGTTGTATGAAAGAGATTTTACTATGAAAAATGCTACAAGTACATAATAAATGTACATAGAGGTGTACATAACACTCACATTGAGTGGGGTCCACTTGATTTTTTATTTTTGGTCGGTTCCACTTAATGTGAGTGTTATGTACACCCCCTATGTACAATATTATGTGTCTATAGTATTTCTCTTTTACTAAATCAGTTAAATGGCATGAATCTACGCAAAGAAACACTGTCATCGTTAGACCTACGCTACATTCAAAGACAATATTAGAGTGAAACCTTAAGCACAACTTTCATATCAAGGAAAAATATTTTCCACAGGACATCAAGAGAAATCTCGGACTTGGAAGGCGAGCTCGTCTCCCTCAAAAACCTTCTCTCGTCCCGCGCCAACATCATCCACACCATCGCCGACGGCGTCCGTATCGAGTCCCTCCACGAAGGTCCCCACCACCACCACTCGCCCGACGACCCCTTCGAACCCCTCTCAGACCCCATCACCACCGACCCCTCCTCAAACCCCCTCGTCGAGAACCTCGAGATCCTCCTCGCCGAGCACCGCGTCGACGAGGCCCTATCCCTCCTCGACGACGCCGAGCGTGCAGCGCTCGACAAACCCCTCGCCCCCTCATCCCTACTCTCCCTGCAGAACACCATCCTCGAGTACCGCCAGAGGCTCGCCGACCAGCTGGCCGAGTCGACCTGCCA